ACCCCTGCTGCTCCTCCTGCTGCTGCTGCTCCTGCTCACTTCCCCCCAGGCCCAGCCTCCCCCATTCCATCCTCCCCCCACAAATATGGGCTGAGCCCCTCATTGCACGTATCGACTCCAGCCCACTCACGCCTGCATGGAGACGGACGCGCGCGCTCACGCCCGTATTGACACCGCTTTGGAATGTAACGCACACACACACACACACCCCCCCCAAGAGAGATGCACCACACACACACACACACACACAGAGGTGCACCACAGAGAGAGATACAAGACCCCCCAAATCCGCCCATGCCGATCTCCCTGGGTTCACCGCTGTCCGGCCCTCCTTACCAAGGGAATTGCACCCGCACGCACACGGCCCCGCAACCACGAGGTCTAACACGCACCTGATTCCCCCGTGGAACTCCCCACCGGCCCTGCCCCCGACGGAGACTCCAGAACGCGCTCGGTCAGTGCCGCCCGCACACGCGGGGGAGGGTTTACACACACGCTCCAGCAAACGCCCGCTCGGCTCCGTCCACATACTGGGTCTGATTCTTTCCCAGCTACTCCGGCGGAAATGCGACGTAACTATTGAAATCACTAGGGGGCTCGCCTCATGTAAAAGCGGCGTATGCAAGTCTGAGCAGCACCAGGCCAAATGAATCCACTTTGCCCGCTGCCTTTCCTTATGTTGTTCTCAGATCCCTCCCAATAGCTCTCCCCTAGCGCGTTATCCTCGTGGGCTCTCATCATTAATTTCTTTCTCCCACACAAAGAGACCTATCTGAAATGATAGCCTGGGAAGGCACTGTTGCCGCTTTAGCAGCTGCACCTCCCTCTCTGGGGGGAACACACACCATTCAGTTTCCTTCCTATGTAATTGGGGATCTTTGTGCTCCCTCCTCCCCCGTTCTCCCCGTACCGAAAGCATTTTACGAGTTGCACTACTTGACAAAGAAAGGTGGAAATCTCCATCTGGAAGGGGGAGTGAATTGGTTGCAAACCACAGCTAATGATCCGTGCAGAGGTGCCACACACTCATTACTGCCAAATAGGTTCCGCATTTATGCAAGCATCAATTCCTGCATCCATCGACCTGCCAAAAATAGACAGGGAATGCTGTGGTGGGTTTCAGTGAGCATCCACAGTTAAAGTGTTGTATATGTACCCATCAGATGGAGGAAAAAATAAAGGCACTTCCACCAAATATCAGCTTCAGATTTCATCTAGAACAAACAAAAGATCAGGCTTCTAAAAATCTGCTTCAACCCAACCAGTATTTTTATAAGCAAATAAAATGTCATTAATGTTTTTATTACTATCATTATTCTGGCAAAGTATGGTTTGTTTGGTTTTTTACCTTAAACTGGCAAATTTTTGTGGCAATACTGCAAGGCTCATGTAGAACTTAATTTGTAACCTAAAACAAAATATTCTATAGAAGTGACAAAGCAAAATATGGGTACAAATGTTCCCAGTAGTGTTTACTTCATGGCAGAGGTTGAGAAATTGTTTTGTATCTAAGCCCCTCTTTTTAGTAACATCTGTTAGGACTGAAATTTACCCTGATTGGTATCAGCCTAAGGGTGGTTTTTCTTAGACAAGGCTTGAAATCAATCAACTTAGTTATTTTTTAGTTAAAAATATTTATTAATTGTCTTTCACACTGTGAAAATTAGTTTGTGGCATTTTAGTTCAACTCATTTAACTTAAAAAAAGGAGAAATAAAAAATTGAAAGTTGGCACAAGCATAGTCCTCATTGACAAAAGAAAGTTAAGCCAAGTTTGGGAAAAAATGGTTCAATGTTTTAATCACACTCAATTAGAGGATTAAATAACCTGTTCTGTCAGTTTATAAAATAGGTTTAGTGTCACCCTATGTCTACACTACATGTTTTGTCGGAAGAGGCAATGCAAACAAAGCGCTTATTAGCATTTTCTCGTACTTTATTTGCATAATCTATTCCAATCCGTTTTTGCTCAAGAGGTTTTTGCGCAAAAACATGCTGTGTGGATGTGTCCATTTTGCACAAAATCCCTTTTTGTGCAGGATCCTTATACCTCTCCAGGATTTTTGTGCAAAACAGACATGTCCAAATGAAGCATAGAATCATAGAATCATAGAATACTAGGACTGGAAGGGACCTTGAGAGGTCATCGAGTACAGTCCCCTGCCCTCATGGCAGGACCAAATACTGTCCATCCCTGAGAGACATTTATCTAACCTACTCTTAAATATCTCCACAGATGGAGATTCCATAACCTCCCTGGGCAATTTATTCCAGTGTTTGACTACATTGACAGTAAGGAACAAACAGTTAGGAACAAACCTAATTCCTTCAGCCTTCCCTCATAGGTCATGTTCTCTAGACCTTTAATCATTCTCGTTGCTCTTCTCTGGACCCTCTCCAATTTCTCCACATCTTTCTTGAAATGCGGTGCCCAGAACTGGACACAATACTCCAACTGAGGCCTAACCAGCACAGAGTAGAGTGGAAGAATGACTTCTCGTGTCTTGCTCACAACACACCTGTTAATGCATCCCAGAATCATGTTTTCTTTCTTTGCAACAGCATCACACTGCTGACTCATATTCAGCTTCTGGTCCACTATAACCCCTAGATCCATTTCTGCCGTACTCCTTCCCAGACAGTCGCTTCCCATTCTGTATGTATGAAACTGATTGGTCCTTCCTAAGTGGAGCACTTTGCATTTGTCTTTATTAAACTTCATCCTATTTACCTCAGACCATTTCTCCAATTAGTCCAGGTCTTTTTGAATTATGAGCCTATCCTCCAGATTAGTCGCAACCCCTCCCAGCTTGGTATCATCTGCAAACTTAATATGCGTACTTTCTATACCAATATCTAAATCGTTGATGAAGATATTGAACAGAGCCAGTCCCAAAACAGACCCCTGCAGAACCCCACTTGTTATGCCTTTCCAGCAGGATTGTGAACCATTAATAACTACTCTCTGAGTACGATTATCCAGCCAGTTATGTACCCACCTTATAGTAGCTCCATCTAAGTTGTATTTACCTAGTTTATTGATAAGAATATAATGTGAGACCATATCAAACGCTTTACTAAAGTCTAGGTATACCACATCCACTACTTCTCCCTTATCCACAAGACTTGTTATCCTATCAAATAAATCTTTCAGATTGGTTTGACATGATTTGTTCTTTACAAATCCATGCTAGCTGTTATCTATCACCTTATTATCTTCCAGATGTTTGCAGATGGATTCCTTAATTACTTGCTCCATTATCTTCCCTGGCACAGAAGTTAGACTGAATGGTCTGTAGTTTCCTGAGTTGTTCTTACTTCCCTCTTTATAAATGGGCACTATATTTGTCATTTTCTAGTCTTCTGAACTCTCTTCAGACTTTCATGATTTTTCAAAGATGATAGCTAAAAGCTCAGATACCTCTTCTATCAGCTCTTTAAGTATTTTAGGATACATTTCATCAGGTACAGACATCTAGCTTTTCTAAGTAATTTTTAACTTGTTCTTTTTTTATTTTAACTTCTAAACCTACCCCATTTAGCTCTAATCACTTCTCTTCTATTTCAGAACAACACCATTTTCTTCCCTTCTTTTACACGTTCAAAATACAATGCTTACGAGATTATCCGAGTTCAGTAAAAAGGTTTTCTGGTTTGGGGATAAGCCGGAAAAAAGCGGCAGCCATGTAAATGCAAATGCCGCGGGGGATATTTAAATCCCCCGTGGATTTGCAATTCCAAAGTGTCTAATCTGCATCCCTTTTTCTGGAAAAGGGGTGCAGTGTAGACACAGCCGTAGTGTAGACATAGAGTGACACTAACCCTATAATTGCAAAAAGCTGTGATGGCAAGAGACAGATTGCAGTCTCCAAGATTTCCCTGTTCTGTATGCTTCCCCTGAAAATCTTGTACTGGCCTTTGTTGGATACCTCCTGGTCTAGATGATCCAGTATGGCAGTTCATTCCCAAATTCAGAATAAACATAATGCATAAAAAATAACTTACATAATGACCAGAAGACTTATATAGCGTTACTTGGGTTCTTCAGGTCAGGGAGGTGGCGGTGGGTCGTGGTGGTGAAGGAGTCAAGGCAGAGGGTTGGGTGGGTGAGGACTCAGGACAGGGGGTGGGAGTGCTTGAGTCAGGCCATGGCACTCAGTCTGAGGGCAAGACGGTCAGGGGAGCTCACCAGAGCTGTCCGCAAAAGTGAGGATGGTACTGCAGATACTAGCTCCCCAGCTTTGTGTTCCTGGGCATGATCTGTGCTCAAGCGCAGCAATCAGCTAATCCAGGAGGGAGGGTGGGGAATCAGGGTGTGTGTCTGGGGGTAGGGGACCTGGGTCCTGGTTGGCCCGTTCCTGACAGTGTTCCTGGGAGGCAGGACTGCTAACAGGAAGTAACCCCCCACCCCATCCACCACTGCACCTGATGGGGACAGGGGTATGGAGTAGGGGGAACACTTACCTGGGCCACTGACCAGCAACATGAGAAGCATGGGCCCCAGCTGGCCAGTCTCTTGCTGGTGTGGTTGCCCTGCCCTGGTGCTCACTCTACTGCAGGGGTGGGCAATAATTTTTGATGGGGAGGCCACTTGAAGATTTTGTAAAGTGGTTGAGGGCTGCACTCTTGCATGTTATTAATGATCCCCGGAAAGTAGGAATAAGAAGTCCTCCGGAAAAGGGCATGGTTCTTCATGTGCTACCTGTTATTCAAACTGGCAGCTCCCATTCTGGAGAGAAACACCAATGGGGTTGTACTGGGGGTGGGAGCAGTACCTGAAGCCTTCCTCTCTCCGCTCTGAGATCACAATTTTGAAAGAAAAATGCCCAGCAGCAGCTTTTCTGAGCGGTGTGCAAGTTGGGCTCTGCTGCGTCCAATGGTGGCTTGGCGGGCTAGATCCAGCCCGTGGATCATATTTTGCCCCAGCCTGCTCTATCAGCCCCCAACATTTCCATGATATGGAAAAGAATCCTATTCTAGGCACATCCTGTTTTCCTGGCAGAACCAAACTCTGACCTTGATTTGAGTTAGAATAGTAGAAAGCTGTATACCAAATTTGGTGGTCCTAACTTTTACCATTTAGAAGGTGTTCTAGAACATATGGGCTCATTGATGGACAGACGGACTTACGGACAGACAGACAGATGCACAAACTCATACACACATACATTAGGTGCAACATAAAAATAAAGTAAAAGACAGTCATTGCCCCAAAGAAGTAAAATCTAAAGCCCTAACCCTGTAAAAGACAAAAATGCAAGAGGCAAAAACAGAGACATGGAGTTGAAATGACTTGCCCGATGTCACACAGCAGTTTATTGGAAGAGCTGAGAATAGAACTAACATTTCTTGACTCTCAGTTTCTTGACTCTCAGCAGTGTATGAGCATTTTGAGGGTGAATCAATATAGTCTTAGAAGAATATCAGAAAAGCTCTCAAATTGCTACAGGAGGCCATCACAGCCAAAAACAATCCCAGAGACTAGTAATTTAGTTGGACTGTATTATTTATTTTTAAAGAGCAAAACATTTTAGAAGCAATAATAGCATTGCAACTATGGAAGCCAAAGATATGATGCAAGGAACTGCAAGTCTGAGAGCAAGGATATAGCTAGCTATTTGAAATAT